TTTTTTTTTTTTTTTTTTTTTTTAGGGGGGGGGGGCTGGGGATGCGCCGCCCCATGGCGCTTGTCGAATCCCGAACCCCCCTCTCCACTGGCTGCTATGCGGCCGCAAAGGCCGCGCGGCCGCGTGGACACGTCCACGGGTCGCGGCCTAGGCCGCGGATGGCCGCCGCCGAGGAGGATTCATAGCTTGGCAGACAACACTGTCGCAGTGTTCCCGTCCGGTAGTCCATGGAAGCGCCCCCATGCGAATGCTCCAGGTCCGGCCAAACCCGCGGGGGCGGCCTGCTCGAAAGCTGGCTGTTCTTCCGACCCTTCGAGACAGGCTATGGCCTGTTTCGACGTGGCAGACAAGGACAAGTTCCCTCACAGCCAGCGGGAGGACGACGGGTGTGGCAAGTGTTCGAAGAGCTGCTTACAGGGACAGGGAACGAAACCCAGCTCATCTAATTGGTCTACTCGAAAACTTTTGTAGAGTTGGGAAAACTGTTTTCTTCTTCGGGAAGGTGCATGCATCTGTCGTGTGGTAGCTCCTGTGTAGGGGTCGGAAGTTCGTGAAGACACATGTGGGGGATCCTCGCAACCATTGCTCTTTTGTCAAGACCACCGGCGAACGGAACTGGGATCCCAAACGTGATATGTATTGGAAATTGTCGGAGAAGAAAATGATGGAGGTTTGGGAGTTCCTTTTCCAACCAGGACCGCCTGCTCAAACCGACCTGGAATACAATCGACGGAGAAACCTGGTGTTCGGTGTGCTGAATGCTTACCACGGTGCACTTAGGGAGTCTGTCTCCAATTTCCTAAGAAGGTTGGAGCACGTTTTCTTCTTCATGGCAGAACCACTAACCCTTGAGAACTACAAGGTGTAGTTTCACGAGGACGACCCTTTCGACGCTGAGGACATGGAGGAGGTGAGCGACTCCGAAACCTTCGATTTCGAGTTCATGCCATTTCCTCGGGTGGTGACATAGGTTGATGATGAAGGGGAAGGTGGTCCTCGGAGATATAGCACATCCCCTGCCGGTTTGAAGCGTGTATTTGAGCGCGAAACAATCGAGGACCAATCGTCTGATGACGGGGAAGAAGAGAGAGACTATGAATACGCACCTGTTGACAAGCTCCCTCAGGACCATGAGACCTGGGAGAATGATAAGCTCTTCTTTTACGGGAGCCACCACCGGTTCACAGCAGAGGATGTTTGGGGCCACAACGTCGTCTAGCACCCAGAAAATTCCAACCTGTTGTAAAGAATGGAAAGTGGGTCATGACAATAAAGGAAGCCGGCGGCAAGTGTAGTGCACTGAATAGACTGGGAGCGGGTCCATTTAAGAAAAAGGTCGGAGAAGCTCTAGTGGAGCATTTGGGTCTAGTAAACCCCGAAAGGAGCCCACATAACATCAATGTGTTTGCAGGCCAAAAGCTCGACGATAAAATATTGGAATTTCGAGCGCCTTTCTACACATTCTAAAGGGCACCGTCTCGTTGCATTGATTGGCTCATGCCTCAACCTCCGACCGGTGGTCAACATCCGGGAGGCGGTGGAGGAGGTGACGGAGGAGACGACTTAGGATCTGGTGGAGGAGGTGACGGAGCAGACGAGTCAGGATCTGGTGCTGACAAAGCAGAGGGGAAGGGGTCGGGCGGAGAGGGTTCTGGAGAAAAGCGATCTGTCGGAAAGTGGTCAGGCGAAACATCGTCGGAATCAAAGGGGTCTGACGGAAAAGGATCCGGTGGAAAGGGGTCGGGCGGAAAGGGGTCGCGCGGAAAGTGTAGAAAGTTCGGGAGTCACGAGTCTACGAGAACTGAAAGCCACTGCGAAGGGAGTCGAGATTCCGACATGCGAGACGAGGCCACCCTGAGGTCTTATCAAGTGAGAGTAGATTCGCACTTGTCTGCGAGGACTTTGTTTTGCGATGTCGAGGAGAGTCCGTGCCACAGTACGCAGCCGGCATATCCTGTGGACGACACCTTGCTCAGGCACCTCTTGGAAGAAGGCGAACGTCTGCAGTGTACGACAGCATCTCCTGAGCGGCAAAACCATTCCTTACCGGGAACTGCGTCTTCGTTTTGCCTGGACACCGGGACGCCTACATTGCGAAGGAGCGAAGGTGCCAGCATCAGTTCCTTCAACTCTGGCGAGCGCCGCAAAGTCCGAATAAATTCGGAGTTACTGACGTCGCCTTGCGGGCCGTCCGCCGGTAGTGCTCCTCACGCTACACTTCTGCGGGGTGAAGAAAATGTGAGGTCCAAGCCCCTGCATATTCAGTTCGGCACTGTGTTCCCCTGCTCACCGCCGTTCTCAAATGTTGAGACTCAAGACTGGTCGTCTTGCAAAGTGATGGAGGGGCCCGCTGCAGGAGCGTTGGAGACCGGGGCTAGCGAGTATGAACGTCATGCTTCAGAGGGTGCGTCCATCGATTTTGAGAGCAAGAGTACAGCAGCTCCGGGGCAAGAGGAACTCTCACAGGAAACGCATGTTGTGCAGCGGGAAGAGGAGACTCAACACTAGCCACCTCGCAAAGTGCTAGAGGGGCTCGATGCAGGAGTCTTGGAGACCGGGGCTAGCGAGCATCACTGTCATGCTTCAGGGGGTGCGTTCGTCGAGTTTGAGAGCAAGAGTATAGCAGCTCCGGGGGTAGACGAGCTCTCACAGGAAGCGTATGTTGTGCAACGGGAAGATGAGACTCAACACTGGCAGCCTCGTAAAGTGCTGGAGGGGCTCGATGCAGGAGTGCTGGAGACCGGGGCTAGCGAGCATCACTATCATGCTTCGGAGGGTGCGTCCGTCGATTTTGAGAGCAAGAGTACAGCAACTCCGGGGGAAGAGGAACTCTCATAGGAAGCGCATGCTGTGCAGCAGGATGAGGAGCTTTTTCAGGGCTCATCGGGAAATACCATCAACATCGGGGACACCGAAGAGGTTTTGCACAGTGGGTCGCCATTGACGACGCAAGAGAGTGACGTTAAAGGAGGCCAGTGGACGTTTATGGAAGGCAAAGACCGTGGGGAGGAAGTACGTGCGTGGACGTTTGAGGAAGCACGACTTCTTGGCGAAGAGGGTGGCGAAGAAGAACCCGTGGTGGAAGCTCGACTTCATGGCGATGAGGAAGGCGAAGAACCCACGGTGGAAGCTTGGTTTGTTGGCGGTGAGGTGTCCGTCTGCGTCCAGATTGATCCAGAGCAGAAAGATTATGATTCTCCATCCACCCGCTGCGGTGAAGAACAAGGTGATCGAGCGTCTGTCCTCAGTACAGGTCGGGAAATGGTACTTCATGAAGCCATCGAGTTCGTTAGCGACTCAGCTGCCATCGAGCTAGTTAGCGACTCAGCCGCGGCCGAGGTGCAGAACATCAAATCCTCCGTGGACGTTGGCACAGTGGCACGATAGGAGGCCGATTTCCCTCGAAGGACTCCCGAGCATAGTAGCACTCGCATATATGTTACTGTTCAACTCTGTGGTCATCCAGATTGATATGATGGACTCATGTAGCTTAGTAGCTATTACCACTTGTTGAAAAAAAACTTGTGGGTTGTGGGTTGTGGGTTGTGGGTTGTGGGTTGTTTTCTACGTTTTACAGGTGTGAGGTTGTTAATGTCCCTGCCCATGAAGCCTTCAAAAACCATGAGCGGGAAATCTTTTCCAGGGAGGTCATTGGCCGCTTTACCGAAGAAGTCCTCGTCAAGTGTAGGGTTATTTAAAAAAGTCCAGATGCCTCGCCTTTCCGAGAGCGCTGTCAAGGTTCTGAAGGCTTGTGGAATAGATAAGGAGGAAGCTTTGCAGAAACATGTGGTTGCGCCTATTGAAAGCGTTATTGTTTTGTCTGACGAGTCTGATGACGATGCCAAACGGGGTATCGTTAAAGACCTGTATCCTAAGTACATCGTCAAGGCGGCTCCTCACACTTGTTCGTGGGTGTTTGTGCAGATGCGGCTACATCATCTTTTTGTGTATCGTTGCCTATTAAGGAGCTTAGCGGTTCAGACTTGAGAATGTTGCAAGACGTCTGCGGAGATTTCAGCAACAGCCACGAGGTGATTTCCTCGATTCGCAAAGGGACCAGTTGTATTCTTTTGAGCAGAAAAAATCTTCAGACTCTTCTCCAGGGGGGGTGGCTTTGCGGCGAGGTGGTGGAGTTCTACTTGTCATTGGTTGGCAACACTACTTTGTTAGGGTGTCCCTCTGTTTCTACTTTCAGTCCGTTTTTTTATACCAAGCTCGTCGATGAAGGATGTCGACATGATAGGGTTGCGAGAAGGACAAAAGATGTGAATATTTTTTCGTACGACATGCTAATCATTCCTGTTCATAAAAATCGAGTGCACTGGACCCTATTATGCGTCCGCGAAGGGCGGCTGGAGTACTACGACGCCCTCCTACAAGACGATGGTAGTTTTTCTTCCCATGTGTTTGGCAACTTCATGAAATACCTCTCTTACGAAGCAGTTCGTCAACTTGGTCAACACAGGAAACTACGTCTCCCGGACCCCAAGGCGGTTATTCATGGTGTCCCTCAGCAGTTGGACAGGTTGAGCTGCGTCGTTTTCATGCTCGCCTTCGCTTCTTTTCTGGCACTCGGTCATCCGCCACCATTTTCGATAGCCCAAAGCGGCATTCCAAACATCAGGCTGAGGATTGCGGTGGACATACTTCAAGGCTGAGAATAATACCCCTATTTTGAAAATACGCAAAGTTTTTTATTCGCAAGGTCATAAACAGAAGTGCGAATTTATTTCCACTTAGTCTAGCAGCCGGTTGGCTCGAGCTGTGCTGTTGTTTTGATGAGGTAGAGGATTGTAGTGGACACTTTGATCAAGTACACGCTTACATAACGATGTGCATATCCCAACCTCGTGCTGCAATATTTTTTAAGGTTCTACATTTTGAGGAACCTGATAGCTTTACTCGTAGGACTTTCTTTGACTTTCTAGTATTTCTTGTTTTTCCAATATAAATGTCGCAGCCTCGTGCAGCCTGTTTTTTAGGACCCCGACAACGCCTTGCTGCCTTCGTTTGTTTTCAGGTTATTCTCTTTCCTTGCCGCCCAACACCAACAAGAGGGTTGCAGTGGACGCTTAAGTCAAGTAGACGCTTAGATGTCGATGTGAATATCCCAACCTCGTGGTGCAGTATCTTTTAAGTAGGCGATGTCGATGTGAATATCCCAGCCTCGTACTGCCTTTGTTTGTTTTCAGGTTATTCTCCTTATGTCCTCTATGACCACGTCATCGTCGTGCTGCCTTTAGTTTTCATGTTGTGCTCCTGTGTTACTCATGGGATAGTATTTGTCCTCTTGTGGACATTCTTTACACTTGGGCTCATAGGACTTGATACTCTTGTTCATTTAGCAAGATGTTGGTGAAAGATATCAATGATTTCTTCTTGGTCGCCAAATTGTTTCGTGCTTATCTTTTTCTTACGCGCAACTTTATGGTCTGAAAGCCCCCCTGCCCAATTTTCATATATTTTGGCTCGCCCCTCTTCTGTGCGTACTGCCCCATTTTCCGGTTCACCCCCTCTATTGTACCCTCCTCCCCGTAACCACCCTCCTTCCGCCTGTTCCGTCTTCTGTAGCCGAGGATAATTCTTCGTGTGTCGTGAACGTTTTTGTCTCCACTGAATGTTGACTATTGCGAACGTATTCGCAATTCGAAAATCAATTATCGTCAGAATGTATTTGTGATTGACGTTATTTTATAGACTCCAGAAAATGTAGCGGTACAGTAAATGATCACCAATTTTGTTATCACCAGAATACATGTGGTAGCTGCGTTGCCACTTGTACGCACCCTCGTACGAGTGTGGATTCGTACTCTTGTACTCGTACGCTACTCGTACGCTAAGGGCCCCGTATGAGTTTTTTTTTTTTTTTTTTCAATCCGATAGTGTTTTTTTTTTTTTTTTCTCAAATTCTAATAAGAATCTGAAGATGATGCTGAACCAAATGTTGCTTGTTATGTGTTGTTGCATCACATATATTTTTTTCGGATGTTTTTGATGATTTTTTTTATTATTATTATTTTTTTTCGTACGGGGGCGTACAAGACGTACAGGTTTCAGTACTGGTTCCCGTACAGATCCCGTACAGATATTACCTGTACAGTTCGTACGGAAATGCCCCGTATGTGTACTCTATGCAACGTAGTGTGGTAGTCTCCACTGAATGCTGATTGTTGTTTCCGTATGACAAATGCGAACATATTCGTAATTTGGAAGCCATACATTTGTGATTAGACCGTTTATATCTAAAAATTTGCCGAAATGATTACCTTTTATGTTGTCACCAGAAATTTGTTCATATATGCAAGTTCGTCAAAATAATCATCAATTGTGTTATCGCCAGAATGTATGTGTGCTTGACCCTTATGCTTCAGCGTTGTTCGTCGCTCAAAGATCGATATATGGCATTCGTCAAAATAGATAATTGGCCAAAATTGTTTCCTTCTGTGTCGTTACCAGAAGACTGATCATTTATGCAAGTTCGCAAAAAATGGTATTTTGCCGAAATGATTACCTCCTGTCTTATCGAAAAAAATGGATAAATCGTGAAAAAGTTTGTCATTTATGTCATGTCTTGCCAATAGTGAAATTGGCTCCTCCAGCTTAGCAAGGTCGACATGCCACAAGTACTTCCTCCATATTTTTTATCTTTTTCCTGGAAGGATCATGAGCAAATCTACAAAGCCTCAAATTTTTAAATTTTTTTGTGAATTTTCTAAGAGCGAAAAATCGTCAAAGTTGCCGCTGTCAAATTGCGAGACCAGACCCACCGTTTCGGCCTCCGGTTGCCGCCCTCCCTAAGAACCCGCCGGAACTTATAGGGGGGGTTATTTCCTGCTGTCGGAGGGACTGGTGGTTTAAAGCGCCTCCTCACCTTTTCCGACAACTCACTGTGCGAAAGCATGTGCGAACTAATTCATGGTTTAAGATTCTCTCCTCTACCTTTGACCAAGGGAATTTATAATTCGCGTAGAACACCTCCACACGTCTTACGACTACAACTTCTAAATTCAGAAGCATCCTTTGTCGCACCTTCACAATAACAGTAGCATGACCTTAACATTCATTATCGGACCATCGAAACATCAGTCGACGTGGTCGCTTTTAGCCTTTTGCAATTCCCGATGTCCATTCCTTTTCGCTAAAAGGGGTCGACAACGGGTCTGTCATGGGTGAGCGAGCGAGGAATCCTATTGCAATCTCATATAATGCGGAAATGGCCGTTAACAACGAATAATAATCGTTGGCGTCTGTACCGTGAGTTTTCACTCGCCTTTATGTTACGACGGATGTCAGTCCTTAAAAATGTGTGATGCCTTACCCCAACGCTTTGATTTTATTTCGCGCTCAACTGTCGTATTGACGGATAAAGATGCACCAGAATTGCAATGATTCACATCTGAGAGGATGGGAACTGTACGATGTATCACAATTGTCAGGCTCAATGTGGGCAAGGTCCTCATATACGGAATATTTTCGAGTTTGAAATTGGATCCTCCAGCTTTACTGACAAACATTACTATCCCGCTTACAGCACCTTTTGACCTCTTCTAATGACTC